GACCTCCTGCCCTGGAAGACAGGGGGAGGGGGGGGCCAGTGGGGCTGGAGGACCTGCTTCAAGTAACTGGAGGTGGAGGAGCTGAGGTGACTCCTCCCCCACAATGGGGACCTGGGGAAGGGGTACAAGATGGTGGGAATATCCCCCTACCGCAGGAGACCTGGGTGGGAGGCAGAGCAGATGCCCCCCAGCTGGAGGCCTGGGTGGGGGTGGTGACCATGACGCTGGGGGGCTGGAGCTGGGTTATCCATCTCCCCCAACTACCACAGGAGACCTGCAAGGGGGGGCAAGTCCTGGGGTGACCCTTCCCACTGGGAGACATCTTGGGGGTAGGGAGTGGGGTGTCCCCCCTTCACTTCAGGGAGCCCTTTTGTTGTTCACCCCTTAACCACCAACCCCCATGCTCCCCCATGACCACCAGGGGGGTCAGAGTTCTGGGGCTGCATGCAGGCCGTGATGGAGTGATGCGAGGCAGCTTGGGAGGGGGTCACAGAGCTGGAAGGGGGCTGGACTGGCCCTTAACCCCACTGGAGAACCTTTGGGGGGGGGGCCCTCAGGCAGCTTGTCGAAGTACTTGCGCGCCTTGGGGGCCTGCTCCAGCATGTGGGGGGGTGGCAGGCCCAGCACCTCCACTATGCGGCTCATCTGGTCCGCCTGCCAGATGGGGGTCATGGGTCGGGGGTCAAGGGGCAGGGGACAGACAGATGGAGGGGGCAGGGGGCAGAGGGAGGGAGGAATCAGGGGGCTGCTGACTGCCCCTCCTTCCCAGCCCCAGGGTGCATAGCCCCACCCACAAATGAGGGGCAGAGCCAGTCCCCCCCAGCCTCAACCCTTTGTCCCTTCTGGCACCTGCCCCTTAGCCCTGAACACCCCGACGGAGCCAGCTGCCCCTCCCTGGCTTTTACCTACCCCCGTAGCCCTGCCCACCTGCAACGGGTGGAGCAAGCTGCCCCCACATTGCTGAGAGGCAGGGCCAGGTACTCTCCCTTCCCCCTTCCATTAGTCCTGCCCACCTGCAAGGGGTGGAGCCAATTATCCCCAAACTTTAGTCCCACCCACACTCAAGGGGAGAGGCCAGCTGCCCCCTTAGCTCCATCTACCCCAAGAGGCGGAGCCAGCTGCCCCCCAACCCTTGTCCCCCTGCCAAGTATTGAATGACATGGTAGCACCTCCCAGCAGTCCCACCCCTACCCCATCCATTAGCCAATGGCATCACACATTCAGGGAGAGGGGAGGGTCCCGTCTTCTCCCCCTTGAATGAGCCAATGCATGGGGCAGCACAAGCATAATGAGACTTGCTTCTCTACCCTGATCAGCCAATGGGCCGACGCAAGGGGGGGCCAGGGATGGGCACAGGGGCCATGCCATTGGCTGAGGGAGTGAGCATGGGGAAAGGGGAGCAAGGGAGGCACCCCCATGTATTCAGGGGACCCCGAAGGACTGGGAAAAGGGGCGGGGCTCCAGCAGCAATGGGCATGGGCCCCAGCCAATGGCTCACCTCGTTGGAGCCGCTGAAGAGGGGCTCCCCCGTGTGCATCTCCACCAGGATGCAGCCCAGGGACCACATGTCGATGGCCAGGTCGTAGGGCAGCCCCAGCAGCACCTCGGGCGACCGGTAGAACCGGCTCTGGATGTACTGGTAGATCTGGGAGGGGGAGGGGCCAGTCGGCGGAGGGAGGTAGCCAGGCATCCAGGGGCCCCTCCACCCGCTACCCACCCAGGTTGTAGGGGGGTTGAGGCGTGGAGAAGGGATACGGATAGAGGCTTGGGGATGGGCCTATTTGGCAGGTGGCAAGGTGACCTTGGGGGGGCGGGGCCTGACTCATGTGCCCAATAGCAGGGGTTAGAGTTTGGAAGGGGGGGGGCTTAATCCCAAGGGGCTAGGCCAGGAGCCTGGGAGCCAGAGTGACAGGTTGGGTGGAGGGAGGGGTCTCGGGGCAGGGCTAGGATCCTAGTGGGCAGGACCTGGTTTATGTGCCCAGTGGTGGGGGTTAAGAGGCTGGAGGGGCTGGGCTTAATGCAACGGGGCTGGGCCAGGAGCCTGGGAGCCAGAGTGATAGGGCCTAGGGTTGTGGGGGTAGGGCCAGAACCCAGGGGCAGAGCCAGAAACCTAGCAATGGTGCCAGGACCCCAAATGCCAGGGTGGGTGGCCTGGGGGCGGGGCTAGAAACCTGGGGGCAGTGCCAGGAACCTCACAGGCCAGTGTTACAAATCTAGAGGTGGGACTAAGACTGAGGGGGCAGAGTGACAGGTGGAGCCAGGGTTCTAGTAGGTGGGGCTAGAACTCTGGGGGGTGGAGCCAGGACCCCAGGGGCCAGTATTAGAGGCCTGGGGGCAGAGCTAGGACCCTGAGGGTGTGTCTGGGGGCAGAGCTAGAGGCCTGGGTGTGGAGCTAGGGGAGTGGGGCCAGGAGTCCAGGAGCTGGATTCAGGGAGTGGGGGCAGGGCCAGGACCGCAGGGGCAGGGCTTGGATCCCTGAGGGTGGGACCAACAGCCCAGCAGAGCAAGGGCACAAGGCCTGGGGGCAGGGCTAGGACCCTGCTAGGATGCAAAAAGCTGGGGCTAGGGGCCCAGGGGTGGGGGTAGAGATCTGGGGGTAGGGCCAGGAGCCCACTAGGACCACAGAGCCTGTGGTTGGAAGTCTGGGGGTGGGACTAGAGCCTTGGAAGTGGGGCTAGGAACCCATTAGGACAACCGAGGCAGGGATTGGAAGCCCAGGGTGAGGCTAGAGACATGGGTGTGGAGCTAGGAACACACTAGGACCCCAGAAACTGGGGTTGCTAGCTCAGGGCAGGGCTAGAGCCCTGGGGGTGGGACTAGGAGCCCACCAGAGCCCCAGAGGCTGGGGCTAGAGGTCCAGGGGCAGGGTTATTGGACTTGGGGCAGGGCTTGGAGCGCACTAGGACCCCAAAGACAAGGGTTGGAAGCTAGGGGGCAGGGCTAGAGCTCTTGGGGCGGGGCTAGGGCACGGCTGGGGCTAGAGGCCCAGGGATGGGTTTATCAAGCTGGGGGTGGACCCAGAGGCCCTGGGGTGGGGCCCTCACCCGCTGGCCGAGCTGGCAGGAGCTGCCAAAGTCAACAATCTTGATGGCGCTGCGCTTGGGGTTGCAGAGCAAGATGTTTTCGGGCTTGAGGTCGCAGTGGATGATGCTGAGCTCCGGGGTGGCCAGGAAGAGCAGGGCCGTGCAGAGCTGCTGGGCAAACTTGCGCGTGAGGTTGAGCGAGACGCCACGGAAGTTGGTGTTGCGTAGCAGGTCGTAGAGGTTGTAGGACAGCAGCTCGAAGGCCAGGCACAGGTGGTTGCGGAACATGAAGTGCTGCTTCAGGTGCACTGGGTAGGAAGGGGGTGGGGGGGGAGAAAGAGCGGGTGAGGGGGGACTGGAGCTTCCATGCCCACTCAGGAGAGCTCAGACCCCCTCTGCCTAACCCCTGGGCTGGGACAGGGGGTGACAGAGAATGTGGGGGTGAGAGGTGGTGGACAGATCCCCCCTTGTCTTCCCCCTCCCAGCTGGAGATGGGGTGGGGTGGGAAGGCAGAGATGAAGGTAGGGGTGAAGAGATTTGGGTCCCCCCACATACAGACCTACCTGGCCTCTGCCCAACTACAAGGAGGCCCCGCCCTGTTAGACCAGGGGGTTGAGGTGCTGCCCCCCAAGGGGAGGAAGCCCTGCTGTGGGGGGGGGGGGGCCCCCCTGCGGGGGGGGGGGGGTGTCAAAGCCACAGCCCCGCTCCTCAAGGGAGAAAGTGCCACCCCTTCGGGAAGGAAGCCCCACCCCCTGATCCCCAAGGGGAAGAAGCCCCACCCCATGGGGGGTCAAATCCCATCCCCTTAGTCCCCAGGGGGAGAAAGTCCCACCCTGTGTTCCGGGAGGGGAGGAAGCCTCACCCCCCACAGTAGTTAAGACCACACCCCCTGCCAACCCAGGCTATGGAGGCGCTGCCCCCAGCACTAGGGGCCCCTTAGCCCCTCCACCCAGTTGATTTGTGAGCCCACCCCATGCCCCCAATGTGCTCATGCCCTGCTCCATCCTCCAAGTGGTCTGGGCCGTGGCCCTTGACCCCTGGGGATGGAGGCCCTGCCCCCGCAGCAGCTCACCAATGTAGTACTTCATCTCAGTGTCGTGCTGGTTCATGAGCTCCAGCAGCCGCAGCTCGATCTGGGCTTGGTTCAGGAAGGCCTTCTTGTTCTTGATGATCTTGATGGCCACCCACTCCTGGTCGTGGTGGTCATAGGCTTTCACCACCTGGGGGGGAAGGTAGAGGTAGCACGGCCTTTACTCACTGGGGGTGGGGCACAGAATGGGGTGGGTCTTTGCCCATGAGTGAGTTCATCTTGTAACTGGGGGTGGGGTGGGGTGTGGTCCAGGGGGGCCTGGCCAAAGGA